TGAAACGAACTATAACTTTCGAACAGTTCTAGTTCAAAAGAACTGACTATCGATCAGTTCTATTTCAAAAGAACTAGCCATATGAATTAGTTCTAGTTCAGATGAACTGTCATGCGGTGCTAGTTCCTAGTCAAAGAATCGAAAAAGAACTTCAAGCTATAGAATATTAAAAAAATGCATTATCAAACTAGGATATAAATTTAATCAAGCACCATTCGTATTTCACTTAGTAAAACGAATGTGAGACGAAAATACATCTAGTAGATTATGAACAAGATATGCATATACATTAGATTCATTTTCATCTAATTCTTGGCTAAATTTAGAACCAGTGCTGAACGGGTGTTATATGCAATTAACGATAAACGATAGAGATAAACGAATAATACATTAATGACAGAAAACGAACAAACAAAGTGATGGTAGAAGAGAAAGAATAGCTTGACATACAGATGTATATATGAATGCACTTGTAACACTTTGAAATAAACCGATATGTATCTATCAAGATTATTTTAACTCGAGATCTGGAATAATCTATTAATTCGTGTCAAATAACTTATGAAGGAGAAAATCCAAACATAGCTAGTAGGTAATTCCAATATTATCTATCCCCTTAACCTATTATATGCAGGCTCTTCTAACGTGGAGAAAGAACGATAAAAAAATACAAAGTTGTACTCTTGCGTTCTATCTGTGTATATCATCGATAGAGAAGAATGAATTCTTTTCGTTCTGATTGAAAACAGCGGCTTTTAGGCGGTAATCTTCCCTTCAAACAACAAACAAGGAAAAATCCGCACATACGTTCTATAGAAGAGAAAGAACAGTAAAATCAAATAAGATATCAATGATCTTAGTGTAAATAAATGAGAAACAAATGAAACCATATTCAAATGGAATTTTCCTAAATTTTACACATCTATCTTGGTGGTTTTCTCCTTGTGCATTTTCCTCTATATATAGCAGTTTATTTTCTTTAACTTAACATGAAACTGGAGTTTAGATACAATATTTGGAACAGAACTAAGGAATATCATCAATATTCAAAATCCATGGTTAAACCACCGTCAAAATCCATTGTTGAAAAGGGAAAGTCAACAGATACAAGAGTCTCAATTGCGGCAAGCATCCAACGACGAACCAGTACCACTACTAATCCTACTCGTCGACGAACGATTGGTATTGTGGTAAACGACAATAATCATAGTGGAACGAACAAAGATGATATCTTAGACAATACATCTATAGCTCCATCTCATAGTGACATGAGTGGTGATGATGCTAATGAATTCGAACAATCTACTACCGTGCAAAAAAACACTTCACCACGTACACGACCGTCTCTTGTGAAGGAATTTGCTGAAAAATTGTCACCAAATGAATATCAATGCAGATTATGTTCGAAAATTTACCGATGTGGTGCTGGAACGAATGCAAATATCCGTCGACATTTAGCAAACGTTCACGGGAAGACTGAATTATATTCCAAAAGTCAGATACCAACTCCTCCAGATTCGATTGCCCCGGCAAGAAAAAATAAGTTAGATGAAGCTGCTATTAAAGCAATTATAATTGATTCTCGCTCCTTTGGAGATTTTCGTCGTGCTGGTATGCAATCTTTTCTTCGAATTGCAACACCCGGCTATCATGGTCCTACTGCTCGAACAGTGCAACGAAGTTTAAAAAAATTATACGATGAAAAGAAAAAAGCACTGATAGAGCAACTTGCCAATATTCCGTGCGTATCTATTACAGCTGACACATGGTGCAGCAGTCGAAAACACCATTATTTATGTGTAACGGTGCATTTTATATCACAAAATTATGAACAACATGGAACAGTTTTGAGTTTTCGTCGATTCCATGGTAGAAGTTTTGCTATACGACTTCGACGTCATATCTACACCGTATTGGGAATGTTTGGTCTTGAAAAAGGTAAAGTGCATGGGACAACAACCGATAATGGCAGTGATATGCGCAAGGCAACTCAATATATGAAAGTGTTTGGCGTTCGTTTGCACTGTACTGCTCATGGATTGAATCTAGTTGTTCAAAAATCTCTCAATCTGTGGCCAAAAACAGAGTCGACGACTAATGACGATTCTTCTGCATCAGCAGCCACGACCAACGAATCCAATGACGAAGAATATATATATTCTGAAGGGAGTTCTGATGATGGGTCTGTCAGTGAAAGACACCCGAGTTCTGGTTCTAATGATCGAGATACTGATGGTGAAGAAACTGATGATACGGGAAATCTTAACAGTGATGATGATTCTTCGCGATCAGAAGATGAGGATGCTGCAGTGCTGGATGTACAAGATATAGGTGCTCTGATGGTAAAATGTCGAAAACTGATTAATACGATCCGCAAATCAAGCATTTTAAACAATGCCTTACTCGGTTTACGAGGAGATTTGATTTCCGTTGAACTGGTCACGGACATGAGAATACGTTGGAATTCAACATATAAAATGATTCAACGACTTCTACTCTATCAACACGTTCTGGGTGTCTTTTATGACAATCTCGATATACTTGATGGTGTTACGTCCAAGCAACGAAAGAAACTTGCCGAATTCAAACTGTCAAATTCCGACTGGAATCTGTTACTGTCAATGCGCGGAATTCTTGAACGATTCAATGACGCGACAGAAATTTTGTCCGGAAGATCATATCCAACGTTATCGTTAGCTTATCCCGTAATCTACTCACTCTATAAGTATTTATGTCATGATTCCGGTGATACGACTGAGAATACTGTGAAACAGATCATGCTCGAGAATTTTAACAAGTATATTTTGCCAATTCCGGACTCAAAGCAAGCTGGTATATTGTTTAGTTCAGCGTTCTTAGATCCACTTGTTCATGAAACATTGTTGCCAGAACACAAATCAAAGGCGGAGAAATTCCTTGTTAATGAAGTTAAAAAATATCAAAAAGCAAATTCGACTACTGAAAATGTTTCTCAAAGTGGTTTAACGTCAGCAGCATCACAATCAACATCCTCTAAAAGTAGCATCATGTTAAAAAAGTTTTTAACAAAATGTGGCGTGAATTCAACTGCAGATGCTGGTGGTCAGTGTCGTGCTCTAACTATTCAACAAGAACTTGCACGAATGGTATCTTTGTCTAAGGAAGACGGATGTTTCTCGACATTTTGGCAAAAACACGAAACGACTATGCCAATGTTAGCTGTTCAAGCAAAGAAACTTTTGGCAATATCTGCAACAAGCGTTCCGAGCGAAAGTGCTTTTTCGGTATCAAACTACGTTTTACGCAAGAATCGCTTGTCCTTAACATCGAAGAACCTTAAGTATTGCATGTTTTTGAAAGATAAACTTGACTTCTAAATTATTTGACTTGTTGCATCTTTTTTTAAAGAAAGTATATGATCTTATTCAAACTTGTATTATTCTTTCTCAGTAGTGATATTACTTTGCTGATTAGCTTTATGTACAACTATCTTATCTTTTATAATGTTCGTTCTCTTCGTCAATTTACTGAACTTTGACTGCAAAGGGATAGAACGTCATAGTCAGGGATTGAAACTATCAGATTTTAAGTTAGAACAAGCTTTGATGAGATTCTGTTTTATTACATACTTCTGTCATATTGAATCGAAGGAAAATTGAGTCAAAGTAACAAAATTAACGGGAATTGATTCTATAGCTTGAAGTTCTTTTTCGATTCTTTGACTAGGAACTAGCACCGCATGACAGTTCATCTGAACTAGAACTAATTCATATGGCTAGTTCTTTTGAAATAGAACTGATCGATAGTCAGTTCTTTTGAACTAGAACTGTTCGAAAGTTATAGTTCGTTTCA